CGAAGTTGCGCTCTACGACCGCTGCGACAGCGTACCACTGAGTGAGATCCAAGGGAACAACCAAGTTTTCTTCCCTTGGTGAGGTCGTTGCCTGCCAGCTCTGGCGCCTGCTGGGCCACGTGTTCGTCAGAGACGTCCTGGCCAACATGGCTGCTGACCGCTTCTTCGCCACGTCCGCCCGTTTTTAGGGCGCGCCAAGATCATGCCGCCGATCTCCTGCACTGCGACCTTCAGTCGCTGACTTCGCCTCAGTCGCTGGCATCTCTCGAGGACCTTGAGAAAAAATGCTCGGCTTTGCCGCCGATCGCGAAGACTGGAAGGACAAAGCTTGTCGTCATGGGCCTCACCCGCGGCCGCAAGCGTCCTCGAACGACGACAGAAGAGCAAGATGAGCCCCCGCGCCGCCGCCTGACCTCCGCAGCCACGGCCTTGAGCGAATGACGAAGAAGGAGATGGCTAGTCTCTACGTATGCCAAGTCTATGTAACAACAAAGATAACGCGAAACACTTTGCGCAGCCTTGACGTCCCTTTGAAATAGGAGGTACAATTAGATGACAAAGAGAGACCCTTGAAAAGCCCGAGCTACCCTTCAGTTGCCTCGGACGGGCGATAGCGCAGATGTGCGACTCCAGCCGAGAGATCGTCGCTTGCGGCTCTATAATCGTGCTCATGGCAGCAGCGCAGTACACCGAAAGCAGCTGTGCGTGACGGCGCTGCATGTTGTCGACTTGCTTTATGCGGACTTGCACTTTGGCTGCGAGCGTCGCTTTAGAGGCTGTGAGATCGACTGCGATCACCGCGTTTTCCTTGCGCAGCTGGAAAGCGATGGCTTGTTGCACAGTCGAGTCGCGTTGCAGCAGGGAGATAGCTTGCTTCTGGTGGGCAGCAGCTTTGCCCAGCGCCAGCACCTGCTCATGTTGGTTGCATCCATCGGCCAGCAGCATCTCAATTTCGTCACACGTGCGGTGGTCCACCGAGGCGTCGTGCTGGTCTTTCTCGACATCTTTCTTTTCGGCCGCACTGCTGCCGCTGGTAGCCCCTAAGCTCGCGCCGCGATGTCTGTGGCTACATCTTGAGCAATATATGCTGACAGTCGTATCGCCCCGCGTATGGCGGCGCGGCCCACGCCAAGGTGCGTCCATCTCGGTGCGCGGCAGACGGGGATGGTGAAGACCTTCCGGTACTTGTGCGGGCCTAATCGGTTGTTGTCCGAGTCCGTACGCCGCGTGGTCACGATGCCGCCGCTGTCACCACCAAATGCACCGAGTTGGCGTCGGTGGTAGCCGTGGTCACTCACTTTCCTCCTTTTGGCGTCGAGCCTTTTTTAGCTCGACAAGGTCCAGCATCAAGTTATTGTCGTCGTCCGACTCGGTGGTGCTGCTGCCGTTCACCGCCGCGTCCTTGCCGTCGTCGTGCGAGTCGCTCGCTGCGATGTCTACAACATCCACGCACTCCATGGCGGCCGCGTCCACGGCGCCGCTCGTGTCGTAGTAAAGAACCGCGAGGCCGTCGCCCGACACCACCACGCTGCACAGACGCCCGTCCTTTCGCCCTACACGAGCGCCGCTCCGTGTTTTTATACACTGGACGACGACAAAGGTGTGTCGGGTGTAGAAACCCTAGCCCTTTCGTTCGGTGCAGGTTTCGCCAGTGTGACGGGCCTGCCGTCCGTGGCGCGGGAGAGCCGAATGGGTGCGGCGCGACGTCGAGGTACCTGGCGACACACGCTGCCACCGACGCGCGCGCTGGCCGCCGACAAGGCCAGCGTAAACGTGCGTTTGGGTGCACCGTCAAGGACGATGCAAGGAACGAACTTGACCTTCCGCGGCGCCGCCGGAGGCTAGTGACAAACGCCATGAACGTCACCGTAGTGGCATGCTGCACCTCATGAACGCGCTGCCCAAGACGAAGCAGCCGCTGCGCCCGGGCTCGCGCTTGAGATAACGACACGATCGGTTGCGCGCCCGCCTCCGCAAGCGGTACACACTCCTGAGAGCGGCAGCTAACGGACGAACAATTGCTAAAGTATGTTCTGCAGGCTGTAGACTACGCGAATGGTCGACAGTCGTGCGCGCTGCTGAGCGTGGCGGACAGCGACGCCATGCTCCTGAGGTCAAACTGCCATGAAATACGATCGGATGTTACGATGTTACGAAAGCATAAAGCGCTCACTTGGGCACCTTGGTGATGGTGTACTGCGCGGACCAGTCGCCCACGGGCTCCTTGACGAACGCCGTATACGGGAAATAGGGATTCGTCGAGGCGCAGTTGTTGCACACGCCGATGAACTTGGAGCTGGCACTGTTGCGCAGCGCCACGCGACCGTTGCCAGCGTCCATGCACGTCCACTGCGCATCCTTCGTGCTCGACCAGTCCGAGATGTAGGCGAAGGCCGAGTCGAGGCCGTCGTTCTTGTGGCAGTTGAAGCAGCGCGCGAGGTACATGCCGTTCTCAGACTTGAAGGCAAAGTCACCGGCGACGTCCGTGTGCACCACGGTCCAAACGGACTTGGGGTTGGGCGTCGTCGTGTCAAAGACGACGGCGCCGGGGTACTTGCTGTTGCGAATGCAGCCGTCGCAACGCGAGACGTAGTTGTTACCCCAGGCCATCGTGATCGCGGTGCCGTTCGCCAGCTCGCAGGGACCCGCCGTCGGTGTGGGCGTCGGGGCGAGCGTCGGGGCAAGCGTCGGGGCAAGCGTCGGGGCAAGCGTCGGGGCAAGCGTCGGGGCAAGCGTCGGGGCGGGCGTCGGTGTCTCGCCGCAGGCCGCAATGTCCGTGCCGGCGACGACCGTGACGAGGACGGCAAGCGAGGTCAGAAGCGTAGACGACATGGCGCGTGGGAAATTGGAAAATGGGATTCAATATGTACATATCCAAGCATGGTCCGAAGAGAGGGATCGGGTGCAATCACTTCACTATCAGTCGAGCTATCAGGCGTGCTGTGACAGCTTTCGGTACATAGTACAGAATGCTATCACAGTACAACTGATAGCTATTACATTGTAATAGTGTTTCGCGACAATCCACCTACCGTGGATGTCACTCGTACAGCAGGGAGAGCTAGCAGGGAGAGCTAGCAGGGAGGTAAATCGATTGTTGGAGTAGGCAGTAGTAATGCTGGTTGTGAGCCCAGGGACTTCACTTGGATGTACATGTAATAATAAGCTTATACACCAAGTATGCGTATGAAAGCTGTGGATATTTGGGTGGGGAATATATAAGCCAAATATGGTGTCTTCGACAGCTCGAATACGGACTGATAGGAAGCAAACTCAGCGCTCGTTCGTTGTGTGGTGATGCACAGCGCTCATTGCACGTCTAGCACGAGAAAAAGACCCGCCCATGTATC